CCTCTTGTCGCTTCTCACGACCGCCTGATGCGGCAGGAAAATCCTCGCCGCAGTGTCCGACTGTTCGTCTATTTCTCTCATGTGGCCTAACTCCCTGTAGTCCTTCATAAACCTGAGGTATTCGTCTTTCAATTCCGGGTCTTTCTCCAGCTTCCTTTCCAATGACAGAAATCTTCTTTCTGCTACGCCCTTTGACTCGCCCATCTTGTCAATGACGTCCTGCTTGATCGGCAACCGTACCACAAATCTTCCTTCAGCGTTCCTCGAGTAAGTGCCCTTGAAGAACTCTTCGCATTCCAGACCTTCTTCATTGATTTCCGCCTTTATTGGGATCTCGTCAATTTTCCAAAACTGCCGTAGCGTCTCGTCCAGCATTCTTGTACTGCTCAGATTGCAAGTAGTTTGTGGTTTGCGTCCCGGTGCTCCTTGCAGCATTTTTCCTACTACTAGCCACCCCATTATCGTTTTTTGTAGCGTTGGCTTACCCCGGCCCAATTTAATCTGCCCTACGCACATCAAGTCCCAGAACCACTCCGTACCTATCACTATGTCGATTTCGGAAGGAACGTGGAACTGCGGATCTGCTAACCTAATGTTGTTCGGTATACTAAACTGCTCCCTTTCTAATCGTACGTAAGGAACTCTTCGTGTTATGGTAGGCAAGACTACGCATTGCAATTTAATATCGCGCGACCCGAATCTAGACCTAACATTCACCTCGGTGGTTTTCAGCGCCTTTGATATTTGCTGATTGATGCCCGTGATTTCTATGTTTGAACTCCTTTGTTTTAACCTCAGTCGGTTGGCTAGAGATTCCGTTATGAAATTCGACTCCGCGCCGCTATCTAGCAACGCCTTAACCTGGATAAAGTGACCATCGTTGTGTTTCACCTTTACTAGAACGGTCGACAATAACATTTGCGTTGAGCAATACGATTTGATAGAACAGGCGTGCCCACATGCCGCGCTGTCCCCTTGTTCCCCTTTAGCCTCGACCTTCGTTTTTCCCTTATTGGCATTTAGACCTGATTCATCTTTGGTACCTTCCTTATGCAACAGAGAATTATGCCGCTTGGCGCACGTTTTGCATCCTCCCGACGAACAATCCTTTGCCATGTGCTTACCTCTTAAGCAATTCCAGCACAAGCCCTTAACCTTAACGTGTTTCACACGTTCGTCTACCGTTAACTCCTTAAATTCCTTGCATGAATAAACGTTGTGATCTCCCTGACAGTACGAGCATTTCACCGCGGTTGCCGCGACATTACAACCCTTTGCCCTTTGCGTGCTATCCGAA